GAATTCGGAATCCGATGTATTTCTACCAGCAAAACAAAAATTCATACATTTAACGGTTCTAGGACAACTACCCCTAGGACGACTACCCCCGGACAACTGCCCTGGAAAACCATCCTCTAGGACACCTACCCCCTGGACAACTATCCTAGGGGTTAGTTGTCTGGGGATAGTTGTCCAGGGGGTAGATGTCCGGGGGTAGTTGTCTGGGGGGGGGGTAGCTGTCCTAGGGGTAGTTGTCCGGGGGTAGTTGTCCAGGGGGTAGTCGTCCTAGAGGGTGGTTGCCTAGGGGAAAGTTGTCCTAGAGGGAAGTTGTCCTAAGGGGTAGTTGACTGGGGGCGTTATCCGGGGGTGGATGTCTAGGGGGTAGGTGTCCGGATTCGACATTTAACAACATGATGCAATACACAACCTCCGGGCGAAGTTTACGAACAAAATCTCATTATATCAAAGTAAATTGCCGGTAAGCATATTCCACTGTTAAAGCCTTAGTTTACAAACATAGTAGAATAATGTCCGAGCACCATAAACACCACCCCGTTTACCCCAATGAATTTGGGGATGATTCATTCATAAAAGTATCACTAATAATATAATATCCTAGCGATATAAACTAAATTGAAGCCGGAAAACACTGTATTAATATACAAGTGGTTAAATTATTTTAAATACTATACTTTATACTATATTTTCCAAGATACAAATTAGAAATTTCAGTTGACCACAGATCTCTAAGACATTCATATTAGAAAAACATGCACCAAAACATACATATATGAAAGACAATAGTTATTTTCAACCCCAGAAAATCTCATTGCAATAATACCATGTTCTGACTCTACATTTGCCACACATTTCTAAATAGCCCAAATTACAGTGAATAATCGTAATATTTCGAATTACATGTATATAAAAAACACTTTCTGAGAACTCAAGATGGTATATGACACTGATACCGTGATAAATTATCTATATATTATTATCTGAATACGAAAGGAATACGTGTATAATGATTGTATAAATAATACAATGTTAATATTTTTAACGTATATAACGAATATAACATTCAAATTCCATATTCTCAAAAAAGTGACACATTATTTACTTTGCGTAGCTTCATGACAAATATTGATTTATAAGTTTAACTACCGAGTTGTTCTGAGAACGAAAGATTTGTATCCACACATACACATGCTTCCTAAACAGTCGGGTAAGACAAACAATTAAGCAATCGATTTGAAAAATAACTTAACAAACCTAATATCCAACTTTGCAGCATATATGGCAACCTTATTTTAAATACAGTCATGTACCATCATTATCAAAATTTGATATCGTATGTAAAAACTTACCATCCTTAGCAAATACTGGCTGTTATAACCCTGTAATGCCAAAGCAAGGTTATATTTTCCTAGTTACAAAATCGAAATTATGTGAGTCAAATATCACTATCATTATATTTCCTTATCATATAGAAAGATTAGAAATCGTGTACTGTTATCAACCATTTTGCTTATTTGTTATTTTGTGAGTTTATTGCACAAACAAAATTACGATTTTATACACAATTTTAAGATGATGATTCTAACACAAGGAAGACCAATAACTATGGCACTTCAAATACAAAATGAGATATAATGACAACGTTTTCTCAATTAAGAGCACCATTGCAATTTCAAAACGGTATTTAAAAAAAAGAGTGAAAATCTGCATTTTCCTCATTTAGTTGTGACAAGATAATATTTTCAGAGATTGTTCGGCCGGAGAGGCTCTTCACGAGTCTGATGTTCATCTGATCTGATTACTGCCCTTCTCTTCATCCATTCGAACTGTGTCACTGCACGGAACAAAACAAATAATAATACAATTAACAGCAACCGTCCAGTGATCTGACAACTGCCATGTGCAAAGATTTTAGGTTGACCAGCTGGTTGACCAGTGTTAACACTGGGTTTATGTTTCAGGTACAGGGTTAGTGTTCGGTCCATGGCTGATCTTGGGAATTCTATTAGTGTATGTATTTAAACACGGATCCATTGTCGCCGGAGCGTGTGTCGTATATCTACAAACCTATCAGTTTTAATAGAGAAGTGCTGGTAAAGCCATGGAAATGTATTTAGCCTCCGCCTGTTTCTCGATCGGTACATGCATGTCTATATCAGATCTAAACAAAACAAGACAAGAAAAACGAAGAAAAAAAATTTGGTGGAAATGTAGAGGCCGACAGTGAAGTCAAAGGGTTTTTACATGAAGCCCTTGGTTGACCTGTCCTGGGCCCATATTCATAAAACAATAGTAGGTTAGTTGTCAACTATTAGGCTAGTTAGTTCACAACTTTAGGCTTATAAAGGTTTTATGAATATGGGCCCTGGGCTCTACCATCCCACCATATAGGACAGCCATTTACAAGCCTTCCATGTAGGCCCCCTGCATTTCCAAACATCTCTTCTTGTTTTCTAGTCTTGTTTGTTTGTTTGGCAACGGAACAAATAAAGAATTGTGCAATTCCTTGTACATTGTGAACAAATTAGGTATTAAATTGTTAGTTATTTATGATCCAAGTCATGTTGTGCATTCATTTATTGTAGGCCTACGTTTGTTTACTATTTGTGAGTATCAACCGTGCCCTGTAATCATGTTTTTTGTTTTATTTTATGTTTGGAAACGAAAAAATGAATTGAAGAAAAACAATAGGTAGACAAAGATTATACTACCTACGAAGATAAAATCCTATAGGTACATATTTACAACTACAACAACCGTAAAATTACTGATACGGGCATTGTTGGAAGGGGGCATGTGACGTACCCCTCTTCATTCTAAAATTATGTGAGTATGTGATCAGGCCAAATAGGTACGGCTGCAGGAGGGATCAAAATAATATTCGAAAAGATCTACCAGAATTAACATTTCATTCTTGTACATATATATATATTAATAGCTGTACAATGGTGCATTCAATATAGCACTAACATAATCCTTTCAATAGGAATATTGTTGTTCAACTAACTTATTAATATAGTCTCATACATTATCATTATCTCGATTATAAGATTACATTGCAATTCCACAGATTGCTCTTCTATATACCGGCCTCGAGCTCTTAAAAGCTGGGAGCGGTATACATATTCGCAATCAGTTATTGTAGCGTAGGGAGACTTGTGTTAGTTTAAACCCTGCCAAAGTATATATCAATAAAGAGGGGTAAATTTACTCAGTCCGTGGTAAGCAAATTTAAGAGGAGTTTGTGGATTTAGTTGTCTAGATGTTAGTCTATTGAACGACGGTGGACTTTGAAAAGTGATCCCTTCAAACAGAAATTCAAATGACCTTTAAAAACGACTTGAAACCTATCAGCGTCTTTGACCCAATTAAAAGGTTCAAGTACTATTGAAAACCCATCGGGACCCCTTGAGTTGTCAATACCCCAGATGAAACGGAAATATGGTTATACCATTAATAGCGAACAGATAAATGTGTATTAGTCTGAAGCCTCCATTTCCTTTGTTATACACACACAACTTCAGTTTGACAGCTCAATGTCGACTTGATAGTAACTTAAAAAAGAAGACCATCTTATATTTACTATAGATTACATTGGAAATCACATGCAAACAAAAAAAGCAAAGAGAGTATACAGTGATAAAAAGTTTATATACGATATGAATAAATCATTTTAATGTCTTTTCATATACATGTACTTACAATATCCTGAAACCCAATTAACATCATAATATTTTTCCCCATTTTCCTGGTTATATAGAGGAATATCTGACATATCAAAATATACTGACAGTTAATTTGATTACCTCTAACCCTTTTCCAAACAAAATATGAAGTCTTAAAATCATTATCTGTATCATAAAAAACAAAATAAAGTAAACAAACAAACAACAAAACAAAACAATAGTGATCTTTAATGTGAGACGAGATTGATTGAATTTAGACGAAACCCGCGCAGTAAAACCTAAGTATTGCATTCTTTTAAATGTGCAAGTCAGTGTCAAAACACAATGTCCGTACCTCCAAAATGTTATGACGAAAATGATCTTGGTTTCTCAAAATGCCCCCAAAATAAAAGGCACGTCGATCGTTTCATTTTCATTCCGTTTACGAACAGGTCTGCATATCAAGGGAGGCTACCAATATTAAGCAAGGGATCGATGAAAATGGACGAATGAACAAACAGACAGACAAACAGACAAACATACTTTCAACCAACATCCTTAAGCACTGTGTCTCACCAATCAGGTGGAATATGTTGTGTTTGACACGGGGGTTCAAGTTCTCCATATTATTACATGTACTACAAACCAAATGTTACCATTTCCAAAATACTCATCATTGCATTACTTTTTTCAAACTGAGTTGAATACAACACTCATGACTTTAAACACATCATTCATTTTGTATATATTGTGTATGTTGTCAAAAATACATATGATCAAGTTGGTTTCATTCACTTTGCAAATTGTAATGCAATAAAACATTTCATAATTTCAGTTACAGTTACACATTACTTGTATAATACGTAAGCATAAATATCAATAGAAAAATATAAATGTAAGTGTTCTTCATCATCAAGCGAATAAATCTTTATTCCAGCCATTATGTCAGAGTCAAGAGACTGCTTAAACACTATTTTCTTCACCACAATTTAAATGGAGCACTATTTAATTTCTATTTTAAAGTAAGTTATCAAAAGTTAAGGCTTTTAGAGCCCTGAAAATAGAAAGTATTATTTCATGCATCAAAAATGTATTGGTTTTTGATTGGTTGAGAGCTCGTCACGTGACCTGAACATTTCAACTATTTGAAGGTTGCTCTGAAAAAGTACTATAATGAGAGTACTAATTGGGAGTACTTATTTGGGAGTTGAAAAAAAATGTGATTTTTTGTTTTTAAACCAATTTTTTTCTTCTTTCCCAAATCTTAATTTAATAAAAACAAAATATTTAAAATCTTTTTTTAATAATTTTTTTTTTTTTTTTTTTAATTCTAAATTTTTTTCTCTCCCCAAAATGGTAATTTGATGCAAGATATAAAAAAATTATACCATGCCTTCTATTCGAGGTACTGTTAAAACTATGGGCCTCGGTGACTCTAAAAGTACCGTTTGCTTTGGGGTTGCGCCCCTCAGCAAATAGTACTATTGGAGTCACCTCTTGCGGATAGTTTTAACCAGAACCTCTCAAGACAGTGTATATTTGTATACTATACTCCATTCACTCTGCAGTAATACTGTGTATTCATTCAATTAAGGATTCCAAACCAAAAACAACTATTGTATGTATTCAACCCATTATATACAACTCTCTTCCTCTAATTTGATCTATTTCAGTTAGGCCTGTACTATTATTTACTTATCAATACATAAAAGTAACCTTGCAAGTAATTTAATTGCTCCCACTAGAAACACCAACTTTGTCTGACTATTGTATGTTTATGAAGTTATTTTCTGGAAAATATCACTGATTATTATGATAAACTTATCCCAGTCAGACAAAGTTGACCTATCTAGCGGATGGAAGAAATCTCAGCAAAACTAAACTTATCAGAAATAATTTTTGGGGGAGGGGGAGGTAGCAAAAGACTGGTCAAAAGCACTTAATATCCACAGTGGTAGGCATTGATTCACACTGGCAATTCATTCAACAAAGTATTCAAATGCTTGAATTGTACAAGAGGGCTGACAACACAAGAAACTACATGTAAGTAGCTAGAAACTAAAGAAGCTCTGATAGAAAGTTTAGTTGTATTTGTTTCGTTAGAAAGACCTTGTTTCAACCTTTGTGTACTCTTCTTGTTTGCTATTAAAATACATGTAATAACTTTCTGTTCAGAAAATACTTGAAGGCTAAAAAACAAGACCAACTGAGTTATTGACTTCATTTTTTTCAGTGGTTCGATCATTATAAATGGAATTTAATTGGAAATACATTCTCAGCCTCTTGTCTATGTATCTGCCCCCCCCCCCCCTCCACCATAAATTGGCTGTCAAAATAGCTAGGAATAATCCTTGGGATATCCCTGGCTGTGTACTAATGAGCAATATATGATACAGTGAAACCTTGTTTTAAAAACCTCTAATGAGCAATATATGATACGGTGAAACCTTGTTTTAAAAACCTCTTGGATTGACCTAGGAGTTAATGGTTTTGCAAAAAGCAGGTCCTTCAGTTGGGCCAAAAAATTAAAGTATTATAGGCTAGACTGAACTAATCTCATGATGCAAGTTAAGATGAGAATGAAATCCATGAAGTTCTAAAACAGAAGGCAGAAATCTTGCAAAAGCTTATGGTGAATGTACAGAGAGAGATAAACAAAAAAGGAAAAATTGCAAAGTAGAAATGAGAGTGACTGGATATGAAGCAATAGGCAGACTGGAGAACATCTCTCAAAGTTAGGCAGACCTATATGGATGAGAATAGGAAAGACAAAAAAGAGATGGAGATTGGTAGAGTGATGATGAAATAATATGAAGACTGAAACAATGAAATGTGCAATCATCTAGACTCTAGAAAATTTAAGAAAATATTTTTAATCAGCACATGTGATTTCAATAATATGAAATTTTGAATGCTTACAAGTTACAGCAAATGGTTATATCAGAATTTGATATCCATTATTCATCATCAATTGCATCAAACTCTGGATGATAAACATACAATTTCTTGACAAGTTATATGCTGAATAAGAATCAAATTCTTCTTAACATGCTTTTCAGAATGAGACAATATTATCAAATCCTCAAAAAATGAAACACATAATGCTCCTTGTAGAAAATTTCAAAAACAAACTTCTCAAGATATGCATCGTATGTAACTGAGCCTCATCATTATTTTTTATTTTTTTAAATTTTGATCGATCGGCCACTTGAGCCTGTGCAGCTTAAATTACAGTGTGATCCATAATTATACTCGGGCAATTCTCTGCTATCAGTACGTGGAAGGCAAATTGATGTGTGCCTAATGACTTCCTACTGTACTATTAGGTAGCAGAAGTAGTGGTAATATAATTGTAGTGATGTCATTATGATGATGAAGATGACATGATGATATGATGATGATGATGGTGATGATGATGGTGATGATGGTGGTGATGGTGGTGATGATGGTGATGAAGATGATATTGATGATGATATTGATGATGATTGTGATGATGATGGTGTTGATGATGGTGATGATGATGATATTGATGATTATGATGATGATGATGATGATGATGATATGACGGTGATGATGATGGTGTAGATGGTGATGATATGATGATGATGATGATGATGATGGTGTTGATGATGATTATGATAATGATGATATGTTGATGATGATTAAGATGATAATAATGATTATGATGATAAAGATGATGATGATGAAGATGATGATGATATGATGGAGATAATGGTATGATGATGGTGTCGATGATGATGATGATGCTTATGAATATGATCACAATGATATTGATTACGATGATGACGCTTATGAATATGATGACAATGATATTGATTACGATGATGATGATGATGATGATGATGATGATGATGATGATGCATTAGTTACATACTATGGGATTAATTTAATATTATTAGTACTAATCATGAGTACACGGACAACAATTCACAAACAACTATATAAAGTAAAACAAACAAACAAACAAACACAAACATACAAGTAAAGACAGGAATTGTAGCCATGCCCAAAATATTCATGCATAGAGGAATGAGCTGGAGACCTTACTGTATTATTATTATTACTTTTATTACTTTATTTGGCAAAAAACACATGATACAAAACTACAGAAATGAAAATAATTAATTAATTGCAAATCACACAAAACTACATGAAAAACTGGGTGCAACCGACTGTGCTGCCAGGCCTTCAGCAAAGTTAACCAAATAACTGTAGTCTGAAGACCGCCCTAACCTATATCCCAACCATATGCAACCAGTGCTGCTGATTTATGTGACAAAGACAATCTAAGGGATACATAATGTACTGTACCACATTCACATAATTAAAATGTGTCAAGACAAAGCCTTCAAATTTCCCCAGATGTTGAATCACACGCCGGAGACTCATTATGACCACACAAGCAGAAAAAAAGTGGAACAATATTTTACAAAAACATTTCCCTCTCCTCCCCACAACCCCCCCCCCCCCCCCCGGTTCCGAAACCAATCGCGAAGGGACTTAGTCACCCCCCCCCCCCCATGTGTCATCAATTACATTACCTTCAGGGAAAGAAAATCACTAAAATACTTTAAGAAATGGAACAAAACCCAGGTTTGTGTATCTCTGACTTCACCCACAATCCATTCCATTCATCATGCAGATACATGTACGTCAGACCATTCAAAAATCAAAACAAACACAACATTACCAGCTAGCATTTCCCGACCCATTCCAAAATCCCAGAACAACAGATTTGTTAACCTATTGTTTAGTCTATTAATCTGGATTCCCACACATGCAGGGTTCCCATGCAGGATTCCCATGACATACAGATCTATCAAGCCTGATTAAACATACATTATACATGCACAGTTGAAGCACACTGAGCAAGATAGATACCCCCTGTCCACACACAACATTTTCCGTGATTAGGCGTGATAAGCTATACCGTTTCGCGATATTGATACCGTTTTGCGATAGTTTTACAATGAAATATGTGTGTGTGGACGCTCACTAACGATACGTCGTATAACGAAACTAGTCTAACGAAACGCAGGCTTGGGCATCGTTTCGAACTGAAACCCAATGAAGAATCACGCCTAATCACGCTTAATCATGGAAGATGTTGTGTATGGACGGAACTAGTGTAACTAGTGTAACTAACTGGGCGGGGCTTAACGTGACCTCGAGCGAAAGGAGACGTAGACCAGACCTCTCATTTCCGCAACCATTTCATGACCGCAGTAGCAAACTGCGCAACTATACGACATTTCGCTGTAGAGTTTCAGGATTACTTTCTTCTGTGTGTGGACATCCTAGAATTTATACGATGATTATTTATACGACGTTTCTTGTGTGTGGACACTCTGAAATTTATACAATGATTCTTTATACGATGTTTCGTTATAGAGTTTCGGGATAAATTGTTTTGTGTGTGGACACGCTGTATGGTAATAATCTTGTGCAAAAGCAGCCAAATTGAATGTCATGCAACATTAACTGTGCTAAGAATAGTTCAATTTGTGATTCTTTTTTAAAAGGACAATGGGCGCAGCTGTAGGTAGTAACACAGGGAAGGGAATGATAGACTCAGTTGATCATTCAACATGGAGCAAGAAAGATAGATGTACAGTAATATTCTTCAAAAGCAAGACAAAAACTCGAAAAAATAAATTACATGCAATATTAACTGTGACAAGAATGATTAATTTTGTGATTTAAAAAAAAAGGATAACGGTGTACTGTGACAGTGCAGCTGTAGGCATTAACATAAGGGAAAGGGAATAATAGGGTCAGTTGAGCATTCCAAATTATAAAAAAAAACAAATAAGGTGAGTGTTTGGTAGATTATGGCGTCCAATCCATTCATGCATTTCCAGTCACAAGATGAGAGATCACTTACAGCTAAAGAAGGCAAAGAGCAGCCTGAGAATGAGAAGACTATCATCTCGGTAACACATTTCTCCTCGATTGACGAAAACCATCGTCGTAACTCTCACTATAATTATAGATCAATATGAAGAAAAGATTTCAATATGGCTGGGTATAAGAGTGCAAGCTATGAAGCTGAAACCAAGGTTTTTAGGATATGCTAACTACAATATCATAGGGTCATAAAGCATTTCAACATGCAGTCCCTCAACTATGGAACAAACTTCCTAGTAATATCAAAGAATGTTCTTCTCTTGATCTATTTAAGTCTCTGGTAAAGTCTTACCTTTTTAAAACGTAATTTTGTACCATTCTTCATACAATACAATGTATTATACAAGTAGTTTCCAGTTTGGATATTTATCATGCTTATATCGTCGCCTGGGTGGCAGAAAGCATTAGTTCGATCTACAGGTAAAAAAATGATGCGTTAAGCAGAAGGGCGTTAGCACTAAATCGCCTCAAACTTTTATAAAACTGGCCGTGTACTACTATAACATTTCTATTAGTATTTAAGTTTTAAACCAATTTTCTGGACGGAAAGCAGTTTAAATGTAAAACAAATCTTTAAATGCGAATAATTCGAAAAGTAGTTTTCGAGTCGCTCGCCCGCTAACGCCCCTCTGCCAGCCGGCTGACGATATGTTCTTATTAATTAATTTCTTCTGTACTCACTTCTGAAAATACAAACACACCATCGTAGATTATTATTCATCTCTATGACTGCATTAAATACAGAAAGATGATTAAAGTATTAATAAGTAATTGATAAATAATTTGAAGAAAAAAGAAATCTTCCGAAATCAACACTATATTTTAATCCTTTGAATCACATCTTTCACCATGGAGTTATCCCAAAACTAGCGAAAGCCTATCAATTTCACACAGCTGGTACAAACTTATAATCAAACTCCACATTCACAAAACTTAATCAGGAAATAGTCAAAAGAAACAGGATGAAAACATTACTGTACCCGTTCCACAAAAAACCCTATTCTACAGTGAACTGGGTTTAAATCATGCTCAGCAAATGGGATGGGATATACTATACAAAGGCCCTTAACTAGGATTTTTTTTGGAGGGGGGGGGGGGGGAGGTGTAGACAACTAGACATTATATGAGGGGGACCCCTTCGAGTGTGCAGATATCCAAGTTGAGGGGGGGGGGGATCTGTAGAGAGGGTGTGACCTGGGAAATTTGTTGGCATAATCTGACTGAAAATTAAGTTTTAGGTACAATTTTGAACACCAAGACGGTTTCACTAATAACTGTATCCTACCTATGTTGTTTGCTTGTTACATATTTCCTTTACCTAATATCACACTGAGCATATTTTTTTTAATGGACCTCTCGTCGCTAGCAGGGGGGGGGGGGGGGAGGGGGGGGGGTATGGTCCTGATACATGTACACATATGAATGTACTAACTGGCCTAACATCAAAACGAAAACCAAATGTCTAATAAATTAGCATTGCACTTGCACACAGATAACATTCGTTTTAAACAAAATATTGCTTTACAAGTTTACATTAACATACCATAACCACTTTTATATCGATATATATATAATATCAATGTTTTAGACTCCCAGTTTGAACAAAGAAATTTGCCAAGGATATTCCTTGTGTTTGTCAAACAGATACATGGGTCTTACAGGTAAATAAATATACATGTATCATGAAGATTGGAAACACCCAAAGAAATCTGGGAATCAAATACATTTATTCTGTGATGAGATACATGTACATGTATCACCTTTACAATAACAATAAAAAAAAAATCAAACAAACAAAAAACAAGAAGAAATAAACAAATGGCTGCCGTAAATACTGTTTATCTTGTATGCATGTAAATTCACGTAATGCTTGCGTTCTCCACTTTGGGTAAAAGCGTAGTAAATATTTAGCAATTAATTGCATCCATTAGTGTTTTTCTGAAGTCTCTGTTTTCTTTTCAATTATGTTGGAATTTGCTAACCGTCATAACACATGGTAATGGAATAAAGACGATATAATAAAAAATCTTTTAATCCAGAAAAACTTATACAAATGAAGAGAGAAAGAGAGAGAGAAAGAGAGAGAGAGAGAGGAGAGGGGGGGGGGGGGCAGACAGGCAGAGAGAGAGAGAGAGGGAGAGAGAGAGAGGACGAGCAAAGGAGAGACAGAGAGAGAAAGAAAAAAATGATATGATGATGCATACTTACTATGTTTTAGCTGGCGTTTTAGTTTCTTCTTGATTTTGTTCCTGGACTTTGAAGTGTGTGTAGATGACGATTCCACTTAACGTAAGTCCAACGCCTCCAAGCTGGTTGAAAGCTAATGGTTCATGGAAGAGGAAAAACCCTCCAAGAAGCGTGAGACAAAACTTTGCATGTCCCACCATATTGTAACTGTAATTGGAGACGTTAAGGTAAATGATAAATTAAAATTAAACACTTGTTGTAATAGGCATTTGTCACTGATGACTTTGGGCTAATGATTTTAAACGTAAAATAATTGCTTGTTTCTGTGACTATTGTGAAATATCCTGTAATGTATATATATACTGTACCTACATGACTACATCTACTCTAGAGCTTTGCAACCTGGAAGGGGGAGGGGGTTCTGCATTCTACAAAAAGGTAGCAAAAAGAGGATCTGTAGACCTCTCCAGTCAGAGAAAAAAAATCAAATCAATGTTGTTCAGTTTCCTGTTCACTTGCCCTTAGAACCAAGGAAGCATGATGGCTCAGTGGCTCAGTGGTAGAGCAGTGGTCTTGTAACCGGGAGATCCCGGGTACGTACAACACCAAGTCGATGTGCTAGTGCGCCCATTAGTATTAAAGGCATTAATCCTCATTACCAAGTCCCTCGGAAAGGACTTAAAGCCGTCAGTCCTCTGGTTGCTTACTCACAAGCATATGCTTTCTTTGCACTCAGGTAAAACCAAACAACCAACCAACCAAGACTTGTTAGTGTTGATACCTGCTTATGTAAGCTCATATAAATGCTACTACTTTATTGGTCTGCACTTTCAATATCATAAGAAATGACTTGCGACTCTAATCTTCTGTTTTACGAATAAATAGACATATCCTAGAAATCTATAAATGTATTCTATTTTTGAAGGAAATGTACCAGTTTTCAAATTGATAGATACATTAAGAAAAAAAGATTGAACCCCATCATGATTAATTTAACAGTTACTCTGCAGATAAATGGGTAACAAACTTGCATAGTAACAGACAAGATGCATGCTTCACAAGCAAAATGGCTTACAGTGTACACAAAGAATATCCAATAGTGGCCTGCAAGGCTTGTACCTGCAGATATTCAAGTCATCTTTAAAGGATACGTTATTGGAGACGTGTTGCCTATAATCCAATAGATAGAGAGATTCACTGAGAAAGCCACACAGCACGATGCCAGTACAAGGCCCTGCAAAAAGGAACATACAAAAGGGAGTTTGTCTTAATAACTGGAAAATTCAGATGGTATTGCACATAATTATCGAGCAATACTTTGGTACATTTATTTGAGACAATATACATGATACAGCCTCCTTATTGCAGTTTTTCAATTCTAATAATCAGAGTACACATGCACTATAGGAGTGTGCCATATATTTTCCTTAATCATGTAACAATTTTGTTTCTTTTATCAATTAAAAACAATTTTGTCTCTCTCTAAAGCAACTAAAACAGTATACTCTCTAAAGAAGATGAATATATGGCTTCATAATACTGCCACATAAAAATATTTTGTAAAGAATTTACCTAAATATTCAATGTACATGTACTTAGCAGATGACAATGTCTCTATAAAATGTAAATCCATGCTGACAAGCCTACTAATATGCTAAGAATTGATCATTGATGTCATCATAATCATCACTATTAATATTATTATCATTATTATTATTATTATTATTATTATTATTATTATATCATCATTATCATTATCATCATCATCATTATCATCATCATCACCATCATCATCATCACCATCATCACCATCATCATCATCATACATTTTAATCATCGTCATCATCATCATCACCATCATCATCACCGTCATCATCATTATAATCATCATTTTAATTATTATTATTATTATTATTACTACTACTACTTTTATTATCCTATTCTGTATTATCATCATAACTATTACTATTATTATATTAGAGAATAGTGTTGGAAAGAGACATAACTTTAGCTTTTGGACTTGCACTCATCAGAGTAAAACGCAAGATTGAAACAGGAAGCCGAAATCGATCAAAATAAACTAAAAGGAACAAGGTGCGAATTTAACAAGCGGTGTCGAGCGCTGATTGGCTGTCAAAAGTAACGGTAAGTTAGGCTATTTAGATTTATAACTTACATATACTTGAGGAGGCCAACTGCTAAACAAACCCCCTTCTCCTATGATAGGTTCACAGAATGGGATGACAAACAAGAGCAGGAATGCTGACAGGGGCGCCTGGTAGAAGAGCAGCTGCATGGAGTTCACCTGGAATTCACGTTGTTTTGTTCCCACCCACTGGAATCAATTATTACATTGAATATTAATTGTGGAATTAGTAAGAATTATGTTTGTATATTATTGTAATAATGATGTCATTACAAATAAAACACTTCTAAAAAGAAAAAGTTAAAGAAAAGGTACTATGTCCCAATTGCAGCCCCAAAAAATGAAAAGGTTTAATTCCATAGGCATTTGAAAGACAATACTATTTTAGAACTTCTCTCATAGCAAAAGGGCATGATAATGGCTTTTAGTGTGGGAAATTAACGACCAATAGTTGTGATTGCAATCACCTGAGTAATAGTTTGATTTTCAGACCCTTTTACTGACTGGTCGTACTGACATTTTGTGCTGTACAAAGATTCAATCAGTTTAATTTTGGCCATTACAAGTGTTGAAAGATCAGATGAACGGATAAATAAGAGATCACTGTAGACAAGGTTCATGTATAAGTGGCCATCTTGAAAGTGCTTTATTCATGTATCCTTCCGCCAATCGCGGCCTCATTACGCACATCAATGAACTATTGATGTTGTTCATATAGTACCACAACATCCCCCTTCTTTCAATGACAAGTTGAAAGTGCTCTCATTAACCAGTTATATCTTCCCTGCTCAATAGGCACTGTACATGACGAAAATTATCCACTAAAACAGTAACACAATTTGGAAATTTCAACAAGAGGAAACATTCCAAACATATTCTTCTTTTTTTTTTTTTTTTTTTGAGAAGCACAGTACTAAAAACTGTTCAACTAAAACTTACAAGTACCTTTCAACAAGAATTTTAGAAAGGTAAAATAGTGTCCTCCACTATAACAGGCATATTTTTGTCGCTGAATCGACATACTTGTATAATGTAATTCAACTTTTTATAATTTACATAACTTTTGCTGGAATAAACTAAAGTGATTCCATATTGCTTTCTGGCAAACAGTTATAAACAACATTTTCCTGTGAAAAAACGTTTTTCATCCCATTTCAATTAGGACTTAGCAATACGACAAATCAGCGTAACAAAACTATAATACCTGGTCATTTGTGTGGAGAGAAGAAATATCATGCACGAGCACGACATACAATTGTTAAATTCGGTTCTGTATACAGAATAGATTTTCTGTTGAAAGATAGCCAATATTAAGCGTGGCAGTTATATAAAACATTTTGGTTATATACATGTATACTGATTAAGAAATTGAATCACCTGATGTCAAATATGAGGTTTTACTATCATCAATGTAATTCTACCGGGTATGCTAAATCATTAAACAAATAAAGTATAGTTGTTGTTTATCAATCTATTAATCGATGAAGTTTTTATTCTTGATAACGAGATGGGGGATTAACCTTGCGACCATATCGTGTGACATAGGCAAAAGAATCAGAACGAGGGATTGAACCATCGAAATCCTGTGTTCCTGCGGGTGTTGTGCAGGTGTCACCATCCTCTCTTGGAAGATGCTCTGTCCCTGGTGTGGGTGCTGTTGCCGCCTCTATTTGTATCGGCATCTCTCGCAGATGGGACCTGTTTCTCCTTAACACCCTGCCATTTGGTGTTGTCACTTCATATGATCTTGGTTCTGGGCAAACTCTTGAAACCTCAGCCGGCAGCCATGTATTGTCGTCTGGATGCAAAGTTCTGACTTTCTGGCCGACCTTCAGGAGGGACAGTACCCGACCGGCATGTCTGTCATGGTCGGTCTTCATCACATCCCGCCTTCGCTGGAGCTGGTCGTGGACATCGCTCATCTGTCTGTCATGATCATGGCGACCTGGAAGGGTTGTCTTCATTTGCCTCCCAAACATCATTTCGGCAGGAGATGGCAGGTCCGATTGAGGCGTTGCTCGAAGGTGGAGAAGTGCCTTTTGGACATCTTGTCCTGTTTGTTTGCACTTCTTAATCATCGACTTTATGGTGCGTACCATCCGCTCAGCTAGGCCATTGGAGCGCGGATATCTCGGCGATGAGGTGGTGTGCTTGATGTTCCATGACTCACACATGTCTTTGAAAGCTTTTCCAATGAACTGGGGTCCGTTATCAGATATAACTTCGGAGGGCACTCCCAGGAGGCTGAAGGTTTCTTTCATTACGGTAGCAACTGTAGCACTTGTGGTGCTGTGCATTTTCCTGATCACAGGGAACTTGGAATGATAGTCAGTAATGAGTAAGTATTCAGTTCCATCAAGAAAAAACAGGTCTGTGGCTACCTTTGTCCATGGCGTCATTGGAACTTCGTGCGGTTGTAGTGGTTCCCTTTGTTGCCGATCCTGGTTCTCCTGGCAAGCAGGGCAAGTCTTGACAAGGTTTTCAATATCCTTATTGATGCCTGGCCAGTATACCGTGTCCCTTGCTAGTCTACGAGTTCTCTCTATACCCATATGACTCGTGTGTAGCTGCTCCAGGATGTCTGATTGCAGCGTTGAAGGTATCAACACCTGTCTTCCTTTGAAGATAATGCCGTTGGCGACACCCAGTTCCTCTCGGTATGACCAGTGAATCCTTGAGCTGCTTGGAACCTGCTTAATCACGTCTGGCCATCCATCGTGAATAATTCTACTCAGCTGCTTCAAGTTTGGATCGCTTGCTGTCTCTCTCTGCAGCTGTGTCTGCTTCATAGGTGTGAAGCTTGCCAGATCATTGTCATGATTCTCTTCTAACTCCATGACTTCATCTACATGGAGCTCAACGATGACGTCTCCTCTCTTTCTGGGGTTTGGCAACCTACTGAGTGTGTCTGGTAATGTCATCTGACTTCCGGGCTTGTATAGGATATCACAATCATAGCCCTGTATTTTGACGAGAAGCCTCTGTAATCTTGGAGGCGCACTCCCCAGGGGCTTTCTACAGATCGTTTCGAGTGGTTTGTGGTCAGTGTAGACTGTGAACTGGTTACCAAACAGATATGAATGGAAACGTGTGATCCCAAAGACAAGTGCCAATGTCTCTCGCTCGATGTTTGAGTAGTTTGATTGTGCATCTGACAAACTCTTTGAGGCGAATGCGACTGGTCTTTCATTCTGAAGGAGGCAGGCTCCAAGTCCTTTGAGCGATGCATCTACCTCTAGTACTGTTGGGACACTGGGGTTATAGTACCGTAGACACTTTCCTTCTGAAATTTCTGATTTCAATCGTTGAAAGCATTCCTCATGGTCCTCCTGCCAGGTAAAGGGAACATCTTTCCTCAGAAGATCACGCAGTATTGCTGACTTTTCAGCATAGTTTGAGATGTATGGTGATAAATAGGTCATCATCCCTAACACTCGCTGGAGATCGTCCTTGTTCTGTGGTGTAGGCATTTCTCTGACATCCTCCAACTTGCTAGGATCTGGTTGTATGCCTTTGTCTGTGTACAGTGAACCAAAGAAATTGATGCTTCTCGCCTTGATCACACACTTTGTACTGTTGAACACCAGACCTTCTTTTTGTGCAACTCCCATCAGTCTCCAGAGATTATCATCATGCTCCTGTTCAGTCTTGCCAAATACAGCTATGTCGTCAGCTATACCTTCACAGCCTGGCGCCTGTGCAAGGATTGTGTCCATCCTTTGTTGAAAGATGTCTCGACTCACCGAAAGTCCAAATGGAAGTCTGCGAAAGCAATACCTTCCAAATGGTGATCTGAATGTAGTAAGCTCCTGCGATTCTTCGTCCAGGTGGACTGACCAATATCCTGCCTTTGCGTCCAATTTCGAGAAGTACTTGGCCTGTGAGAATGCAGGATTGAGCTCCTCTAGAGTTGGAATCTTGTGAGGGCATCTTTTCAGGTTTTGATTGAGCCTTTTGGGGTCAAGGCAGACTCGCAATGACCCATCCTTCTTCAGGGCTGTGGTGAGGGAACTGCACCAATCTGTGTGATGAGTAACTTTCCTAATGATGCCGTTACTTTCCATCTGATCCAGCTCTTTCTTGAGCTTGTCCCTCAGGTGGATGCTGCATTTTCGAGGCGCATCAATTGATGGAGTTGCATCCTTCTTCAAGTGCAACGTTGCCTTGCCACTGAAGTTCCCAATCTGGTCAAACTGGTCTGGGTAAGCCGCCTGTAGGTCTTTAGCTGACCTGATGGGAGGAAGATCATTTGGACTGTCCAGGCCCATCTGTTGTTCTACTGTGTGAATCGTAACAATCCCTAGCTTTCTGGAAGTAGGAAGTCTGACAATGACTGGTCCCTTTACGTCCGCAACATACCATGTTTGGTCTACGACCCAAGGCGACCCTTCATACATCATCGACATCATCAAGGTGCCTAAGCAGCGTAAAGGCGTTTCTCCGTAGGCAGATAGTCGCGTAGTAGTGGGACGGATAACATCTTTCCATCGAGCCCTGTACATGTCCTTCAGCGTCCGCAGTGGCAGAACATTACCGCTGGCTCCTGTGTCAACCTTTGCATTGAGGCGATGATGACCCCTCAGGTCTGGACATATGATGTTGATACTCGCATATGCTTCGGTCTCCTCCGAGTCAATAGAGTTTAGCGATATATGTATCATGTGGAATTCACGTTCCCCACTGTCCGGATGGTTTGTGTCGTCCGGTCCAATTTCGTCAACCTTACGCTGGTTCCTGCTATGAAAGGATGTAGGCCTATACTGCCTGTTTCTGGGCTGTCTCTGCTGTGAGCTCCACCTGTCTTGTGATGGTGGACGTCTAGGAGGAATCTTCGGTTTGACCTGTTCTTTCGTCTTTCGACACATCTTCGCCCAGTGTCCTTTGACGCCACACGAATTGCACAGGTCCGCGAAGGCTGGACACCTCTTTGGAAGGTGTGAAAGACCACAGTTCCTGCATTTCTGCCTACTGTCGTGACTAACAGCATCAATGTTCCCACTTCCAATATTGTGGAGCGTCTGCAGGCACTGTTTACCGACTTGAATGGCCTCATATTTGCGGCCTTCTTCAAGAAGCTTATCAATTGAGAACCCCTTTTCTTTGTCGAGTAGGTCTTTCTGAAATGACTCGAGTTGTGTAGACGAAATCACCAGCTCTATGAGTCTTTCACTCAATTCCCCCTCGGTGAATTTGCATTCCTTTGCCTTACTCCGACATCTATTGACGAACTCGTCGATCGTTTCTCCAGACATCTGCTTGTATCGCATTAATTCGAGACGATGAATCCTGAAGTTCACTTTGACATTCAGTTGGCCTTCGATTAGGGCCCATAGCTTGCCTGGGTCCTTCTGATCCTCTACACTGAGGCTAGAGGCGTTTATCCTGCGTAACCCTTCGTTCCCAAGAGCTATCTTTATTTTTGTTGCCTGTTTTGTAGTATCAGTTATCTCATTATCGAGAAGGCAAAGTTCCATTCGCTGTTGAAATAACGTGAATTCTTCAGCGAGACCACACTGAGGGTCCCACTTCATCTCTGGATAGCGAGCCATGATCCTGGTTTCTACAATGGGGTCTTGGACTACACAGGTAATTACATGTAATACATGAATTGTGACTTAAATCGACATGTAGGCCTACATAGCAATTAGCATTTACACTATAGACTAGATCTATATGTACAACTTCAAAATGTAGGTTCAAATGTATCAAAATATATCAAGTCTAGATCCATAGACAATTAGACCCCCTTGTGTAATTGGTCTAGCAAAGACAACTGGTCCTGGACCCGCTTTAAGGGGATACCACGGACCACTGTTTGGTCTATAGTACCAGTGGCAGTAGAGTCTACCACCACTAGATCTAGATCTAAGTTAGTAATAGTACATCAGCACTTCTACATACATGTAAGAGATATGTGTGTATCATTCACTTAATTAGGACAGGTCCACATGTAGAAATTGGACTTGTTAAGGTCTAAAGTAAACACATCTAGAGATCTAGACCAGGTCCAGTAATATAGAACAAGGTGAAAGTAGACTTTGATCAAATTACACCTTCTTAGTCATACTCATTCTCATACTCGGTCTAGTCTAGATCCATAAGTGGAGTCTAGACTAGAAAAAAGTGTCTAGACTATCTATCTAGGCTAGGTCTTGATCTAGACCCCTAGACTAGACTAGACTCTAGTCCAGTTTTAGTGGTTTTAATATTGATGTAGACAAATGCTCATGTACCCTTTACAGCTCATTTTATGTAGATGTCAGTCAGTCACTCGATAGTGTCTGACAGTGAAGTCTAGGTAAACAGGTTTCCTTGCATAACTTGAATACTAGAACACTGCTAATGTTTAAATTTCACAGATAGGACATACATATATGAATATATGCATAAGTAAATATGACACTAAAATGAATACATGAATAAATAAATTAATGAATATTGAAGAAATATCTTGAAAGGAAGGTGTATATATGAAATGTACATTTTGGATCTACAATGCCTCTAACATTTAACAACCTAACAAACTTGACTTATTCCCACTTAAGCTATGGTCACAAATCAGAGCAGCGACCGACCGATCAGTAGCCTGCTCGGTCGCTGCTGGAATTAGGCATCGCCCAGCGATTAGGTCGGTGCCCGGGCGGCGACCGCCCAGGCACCGAGCGTATTTTGGGCGGCGAGTGAAAAGTGAGCAGGCGCCGCCCAAATTTTAACTCCGCGCTAAAACTTCAGCGGCGACCGAGCGATGCCCTAAAAACGAGCGGTGCCTGGGCGGCCGCCGCTCGGTGGCCGGGCAGCCGCCGGGCAGAATTGGTTAAAAACTCGCCGCTCGGCCGCCGAGCAGACTACTTTTGGGTAATGTGACCATAGCATTAGGTATAGGCCTACTACTTAGAATGTACAACTGGATTTAGCCATTTCACTGGAAGCTTCTGCACTGGAGGAACTTTTTTTCAGCAAACTATTCAGGGCTCTTTCACTTTCCTTCCATTGTAAGGGTATATTGTTGCATGAACTACCAGCAATATTCCTTTAAACCAGAGAAAGGCCTGCTTGAACTTACCACTTGATATACTGATGTTACAAGTACTCCAGCCGTTGCAAAAACTGTTCCGATTACGTTGAATCTCACATCATAGAAGGAATTCACTATAACTCCCATGGTTATGGGAATCTGTGCAGAAACAAACAAACAAGCATAAGGAGAGATACACTTATGACAAGTGTAAATTAGTACAGACATTATATAATCATAAACCATCCATTTTTTAAATAAATAGAGGCTAGATATATATATATATATATATGTCTATGTTAAAATGAATGATTTACCCCCCCCCCCCCACCAAAAATATTAATAGTACTACTAATCAGGGGCGTCGCCAGGTTATTTTGTTAGGGGGGGGGGGGGTGGATGGGCGCGACGCAAGGTTGTCTGAGTTGAAGTTGAAGATCTTTTTATAAAATTGATGCATAAATGGCTAGATTTGGTGCATACTTTTTGCAAATTAAAAAGAAAACGGTCTTAAGTTCAACTAACAAGAACACAGGGGGGGGGGGGGGTAGTCACCATATTTTTTTTTTCAGAAGGGTTGTTATAGATGAATTTGTCGTTTCCATTGAACGATCAGCCATAAAGTTTAGGAGATTAAGGGATTAATTTGATTTTTTTCAGTTGGTGAAAGGTTTTTCATCGTAAACCAATGTTTGAACTTCTAGTAATGTGAATGTAATAATGACGCGTCTAATCCTAAAATCTGATCGTGTGATTTGGCTGGCTTTTTCTCTCTTTTTCTTTATCTTCTCTATCTTTATTTTTTTACCCTCTCAGTCTCCCCCGCCCTCCCTTACGTCATAATTTACATTTTATAGTTCTCTTTCTCCTGGCCTTCCTCCTTCTCATCCCCTTCTTTTTCTTTTCTTCTCCTTCTTTTTGTTTCTTCTCCTTCTTTTCCTTTCCTTTTCTTTCTCCTTTTCCTCTTTCTCCTTCCCTTCCTCTTCCCTTTTTTCAAAATGATAGGGGGAGGGCTGCAGCACCCCTGCCCCCCTGTGGTGTGGCCCCTGCTACCAATAAATAAAAGGAATAATATTTACTTAATAGTAATAATTCAAAATATACAAATATTACATAGTCTAGGATTAGAAACTAGGCTGTAATTCATAGCATCAAGAATTGAATTGAATTGAGAGCACACCCCCCCCCCCCCTCACTCTCCTCAGGTTATCAGGTTGAGTAGTTGACCCATAAAACTAAAAGCCTATCATGACTGTGTGATGAAAAATCCAAACCCAAGATTATCATACTCACCAGTGTCAGCTTTACTCTTGTTGAATATGTTTTTCGATAAATGGCAGTTTGAATAATAAGAATGCATGGAGTCGTCATCGCCTTGGCTAACTGATATGTTCCTACGGTGTTGTTCTGTAAAGAAAGGTTCGTCAACACCACAAACCCACAAAAGGTTAAGCTCAGTGGTAGTACATTTTTGATGGGGATGCTTTTCCGCTGAAACAAACCCAACATCAAGCAAAAGACCAGTCCAAGGGATGTCATCAGAAAGTGGAGAAAAGTTAGAGTGATGTTGGGGAATCCATGGTTCCGATAGAGCCATTTGTTCAAGAAAACGATGAGGATTGATGAGCAGAGATTGATGACGAGTGAAATCGAGATTAGAAGCTGGCTGGGCTTCCCCGTTTCAGACATGTTGAAAAGTAGGCTGATCTCTGCTATTATCGGTCTGTTACACACCACTGCAGTACTCCGAGCAGCCGGGGCTGGAGCGGGGGCCGCGAGTGTGCTGACGGCTAGTTCCTGCCTATAAAGTCTTGCCAGCTATACAATGTGTAGCTCGCTAGCGAGGTGCACTTTCTTTGCCGCGGGATCGTACAAGTCACGCCCAGCCCCCCAAATAATGCACATAACAGGTACACAGATCTGGCTGCTAGCGATTCGGTCTTTGCACTCGCGCAAATCTTGGAATCGGAGCAGCTCCTTATTAACCCTCTTATTAATTAGAGCCGCGGGGTCATACCAATGCTGGCACAGGCACGCATCTGTCAAAGAAGACTAGCGAGTGGAGCGAGTGCCCCCTTCCCAATCGAATGGCCCGATTAAAGAAAAAAAGTGAAGAGAGAGAGAGAGAGAGAGAGAGAGAGAGGGGGGGGGGGGGGGGGGGTGAAAGGGAGTAAACATTAAAGGGAGACAATACCTCTCCCGCATCCTCCCAAACAATAATGCCCAAAACGTTATGCCATTGACGTAATAATTTGAGCATTTTCTTTGGAGGGGGGGGGGGGGGGGGGTAACAAGATCTAAATGGTTTTGGCATCCAAAACGCAGTATCTTACAAGAATATCATAGAACAAAGTCTGAATGGATTGAGTAGCATATTATATCCCTTTATCAATTTCCTCGGAGGGTGGGTCAGTGGGGGAAGGACAAATCCCGAACAAGAAAAAAATCAATGCCATGAGAAAAAATTACAGAATAATGATTTGCACTATGAGAGCTCAGGTAGGGATTTTTTTTTTACCCCAATTTATGGAATGGTTTTGACAATGATTCCTAAATAGATTTAGATACTAGTATACATTCTCTGATGTTATTGGATAATTATTGGCGAGTGTTTGTTTCCCGTTTGTTTTGCCTGACTGCTAAAGCATGTGTAGGCCTATGCTAGTAGTACTATGTTTATCAACAAGGGGACCTACGTCCGTAAGTCATAACTGAGAGTAATAAGGATTGAGCACCGAGCACAAGTATATCCACTAGGCTTGGGAGCGAGAGCCGAGTACCCGACTCTAACCGATTCTGAAATCCAGAACCGAGGAGTCGACTCCAATCTCTAGAGAGTCGATTACTCGAGCACGTCGGTTCCGAGAAAAGGAGACTCGGTTCCAAGATAAGAACCGAGTCTTTGGCGCTGGAGTCGACTCCACAGCACCAAAATTCAAAGAGATACTTTGCAAAAGTGAACGAAGGAACATTGCCCGAACGAACTGGTGTCGATTCCACAGCACAGAGAATGAACAAAATCAGCTCTGTCAAAGCAGAATGCATGCGAGCGATGGGCGCACTAGCAGCATGCTGTTTTGATACACACATTTGTGTGTGTACCTCCTTCGTAGTACTGTGCATCAGAGTGAGATGTGTGTGCTATGCGATGTGTATAGCACTGCTGCATGTTGTCTGTAACTGCCCCCCCCCCCCCAGCTGAACGTTTGACCTTTGGTAAATTGCGCAAGAGTCTTGGAACAATGGCCCCATTTTCTCTCCTCTTGGAGCGTGTGATCAAGTTGATTCATGTTTTCTCTCGTGCGCAAACTGATTTATGTGACTTTGTGTTTGCTCTCTCTCTCTCTCTCTCTCTCTATCCCTAGTCTTCCCTTCCCCTAGACATCAGACGTTTAGTTTTCTTCCTCAAATAAACTAAATCACACAACTCACAATTTCCTCCTCCTTTCTCTCCCTTGAATTCTCCTCATCAAGTTTTATTCTTCTTAAAAATAAGTTTGACAGGTCTACAATTTACATGTACATTCCCCCACCCCCTATATCTTGTTTCCTTCAGTTATTTTGTTTTCCTTACAAGAATAAATGTGGCAGGTCAACATCTCCCCTTCTCCCTTTCTCTCCCCCTCTAGCATCCCCTTCTGTTATTATTTTTGTCTCAAGAATAAGTTTTGCAGATCTACATCTCTCTGTCTTGTGTTCTTTTTGGGGGTATTTAAACAAATAAGAATAATTCAGGCAAGTCAAGTGTCCCCTCTCGCTGTGGCATTAGCGCAATCTCTAATAGTGGCTGAAAATGCAGACTATTTATTCTGAAACCAAGATCTAGCGCTGTTATCTGTTGTTTAGAAAGCACGTGGTTAGTAGTAACCATGGGAATGGAGTGCCACCGAGCTGGGGCTGGGGTCATTAAAGTTTTTGGGTGGCATTGGGCGGGCGGGCGGCCATGTGAGCATGAGTTATTTACACTTAGCTCTCAGATAAAGGTTGGTCCCTGGGAGGAGAGCCAGCGGACCAGGCATGTTTCGGATACATTCCATTTATTTTAGGCAGGGAATCAGAATCTTTAGTTTTACATAATGGATTGTTTACCGTAATATTGGAAATAATTGTTCTGCATTTCTTACATTTTAGCAGTGTAAGTACGAGTTGATTATTCCATAATTCTATGTTGAAGTTTAGAATTTAAATTAGACCTAACATGTTTTTGTTTGTTTACATTGTTGCCAAGTTGCCATGAGTTATTAAATAATTAATTACTTTATTAGCAGTGGTCATGTTTTTTTCTCGATTTGATCGAAAGTAGTAAAATAAATCATTTCATAACTGTTTATGAAGGTCTGCACTTTGATCTTCTTTATATATTGTTTGCATGTAATTGTAGAGATATCATGAGACGAAACAGATATAAACAAAACATCAATTTACACACACAAGTCACACATACATTCATACTTTTGATACTCAGTTTTAAAAGTAAAGTTTTCCAAAAAAATATCTCAGAAAATCATCTGTTGCTATCGGTGCCACTGCTGAGTGGAGCCGACAAGCACAGTACATAACATACAGTGTTTAAACACCTCCCTGGTGTGTGTGTGTGTGTGTGTGTGTGACCTTTACAGCATTGTGGCTTCAATTACATGTACTGTATATGGCAGCCAGCGGGAGTCGATTCCACTTGGAACCGAGGCCGAGAGTGGGAACCGGAGTCGGTTCTCATCAACAAGGGAACCGCCCAAGCCTAATATCCACTATGATTATTATTATGATAATGATAATGATGATAATAGTACATTTATAAAGCGCAGAAACTATCCAACATTAGGTATATATTCTACTGCGCTACAAGAGCTCCTGATATGCTAAGATTTACGGTACAGTTAATTAAAAAAAAGTGTTTTCAGTTTTGACTTAAAGACGTTTACAGATGGTGATTTCCTGACTTCAAATGGCAAGTTATTCCAGAGTTTTGGGGCTGCACAAGCAAATGCTCGATCACCTAGCGTTATTTTTGTTTTGATAGATGGGATCTGTAGCAACAAAGTATCTCGGGAACTGCGCAAGTTGCGATTGTGTTGAATAGGTTTGAAATTCAACAGTTCTTCGATATAAGTGGGAGCTTGACCAAGAAGTGCTTTACATACAATCAGCAAGAGGGCACTAATATAGGTGATCAACACGGTTTTGATCCTGGGGTCTCACAGTTACGACGCCATTGCTTTGCCACTGAATCATTACTATACGCAGCGGGGGTAGGGTAGGGTTGGCCCCCCCCCCAAATTGAACAAAGATTGAAAACGCAGTAATTTATCAATAATTCATTGAATTTCCCCCGGTCCCCAACAGGAAAAATTCCTCTGTACTACCATGCATTAGGATTCAAGGCATGGCCACACAGAGGATTTTTTTTCTGTTGAGGACCGGGGGAAAATGCAATGAATTATTGATAATTAATCGCATTGACCTCGCAGGCTGAAACTGTCCCGTTTCCATATTTTACGAGCAAAGGGACGGCGAGCGAGAGAAACGATCGATTACACTTTACTATCTGTGATATGCCTCCTCATGAAAACAGATTTCATCTACGTTGTCCCCACACTACTGATTCAAATATAATGTAATATTTGAAGAGCATTTTCGAACAATCTATCTCCTTTAATCTCTCACGTTATATTTTCTTTTCCTTCATGTTTCCGATATCTGTAAAAAAAAATTATGTGTATAGATCTACACCAATAGACAACCTTTTTGTTTTGAAGCGTATGGGGGGGGGGGGTGGGATTACCTAAGCATTTGTATACATATATTTTCTACTTATATATTTATTATTTTTTTTTTTTTTCATTTGATTTGATTTCTGCATTTTTCCAAATATAATATAAATGAATAACGAAGAACATATAAATGTAAGGTATAATACAACATAAACAAACAATAATTACTTCATGCCAAAACGTTTTTTTTTTTATTTGTTTTTTTTTACATTTATACATAAAATAACGAAACTTAATATTTCCATAACATGTTATCATAGATTTAAAGTATTATCCGAACTATATGTTGAAAAAGTGCAGGAGACCGCAACATAATTATAAGCGATGCTTAATTAGAATGGCGGCCTCGACAAAAAATCTTGAGGTAAAACTTAAAATGAAAAAATGTTTCAACGATCTTTGTGTATGAGTTTGTGAGTGTGTTACATGCAGAGCACTTGTAACTTTTTTATTCTCAAGGGGATTGATGTATTCCCTCGCTCTCCTCCTTTTACCTTGCCATATTCGATTATGGGGCTGGGGCGTGCCCCCTCGCCCCCCCCCCCCCCCCCCCCCCCCCCCCCCCCCCCCCCCCCACCCCTCCACCACCGTAGCTACGCCACATATGCCTGAAGACATAACGAATCAATACGCAAGGAATAGAATATTCTACATATTTTTATACAATTTGGGGGGGGGGTTATCTTGCTTTTTCACGAAAAAAAAAAGGGTGTGTATATTCAGAGGGGTGAGTATATTGCACGCACACACAGTCACAAAACATGACTCTCGATCTGGTATACAGCGTCACACCAAAGGAAGACTAATGCTACGCGAGTGCTGATTAGTTGTTTGGAGCGCCGTAGTTAACCGCAGTCCAATCAGCAATGCGGATACAATGGCGCTAACTCGCAGCCAGCTGTTTACACGACCTGTGCCTTGACAACAGCTTCATACAATAGGTTTCAGCGAGATTCAGCTAGCAATATTGATCACGATCTCGAAGTAAATACAGTGCATGTAGAACCATTCACAAGGAAAACAGACCTGTCTTCTGTCGGAATACAGTGTATACTACAAGCAAGAACTGATTTTTAAACTCAACTGGGCATAAAATACAAGGAAAAATGTACAAACTGGACTTACCCATTGACCTCAAAGAGAATGCTGCCATCGAAAGGCGCCGCAATCTTGAATTGGAGAGACAGAGCAGAATTTTCAACGCAAAAGTCAGGACGATTGGCGTAAGTTTCATAAATTTATACTCGTCTCATGTTATAGGTCTAGGTCTAGTCATATATTATTAATATTAGATTATTTGTAAATATGCTTTGACAGTTCACTGTTAAGAAATAAAATAGAATCTACATGCTGGCCTGCATCACATTATGCATGCAACAATATTACAATAACATGTGCAACTCCATGAATCTGTCAAATGGCATGACTAATTGAAGTAGAATCTCCAGTGACTGATGTGTCTTTCTGAAGCTATGCACATGTTACATTAATGTATTCTAGTCTGTCTAATAATTATCGGCTGCTTGGCTAATGTAATTGAAATGATTTTTCAAGCTTATCATTCGTCATTGTGATTGTGCCCACTTGTCCAATAAAATAGTCCAGACAGACACATTTATAATCATGCATTTCCCCTTGGATGAATTTTTTTTTTAATGCAAACATCTTTATGTGTGTTGGAATATCTTCCACTTAAACAAACCTGTATTAAAGAAGAGTTACTTTGATCTTCGGAAATTATAAATAATGTTTATTTAACAATAACAGTAAACAAATCTAATTATATGGTCGGATTCCTATCTCTTTCTGTTTCTGTACAGGTTGATGTCCAGGTATTAAAGGAACAAGTACATGACCGAGATTTACAGGAGCAAAGGGAAAATGACAGAGAAGAGGCGTTTGGTAAGGATTGATAGATGGCATACTTTCCTCAAGAACTTTAGAGTTAGCGTTCACCCAAACTACCCTTAATGTCCAAACAAAATATATCAATGTTATAATTCTTGCAGTCTTCATATTAGAAGTGTTTAATGAAAGAAAAAGGAAGCCGTTTCCAATCATCTGGCAGGCATACATGTACATGTACCTTTCGACTATCCCTGTGTTGAACTTGTTACCATATTGTAACCACAACATGGATTTCTATTTTCATATGGAATCAATCTTATTTCAATTATCAGAAATATTGGATATGTGGTAGATCTATGCCAGAAAATATGTTTCTTTTTTTTATTTTCCAATATTTGATATAGTCTACTTTTAGATATTAGAAAACTACCGGTACCCCAAGTACACTGGTACTGTATGCACCAAAAATCAGACAAATGTAGTATTGACTTTTCTTCTGTCATTGTAATTGTGTTATTGATGCTTTGCCCAATTTTTGAATATTTATTGAGTGGAATTGTTTCCAAATTTACCAGTATTAGTTTGGTCCCATACATGTACCAACCATATTATCCAATAAAACACATATTTTATCAAATCCATGACCTGGACCCACATTGGTTTAACTTTAAATTGATGTTTTATATTTACGAACTGTATTATTTTCCTTTTCTAACAGCCTCTGATATGATCCGCAATGATAAGATTTCTGAGCTTCTCCAAAGGCGCCAGGAACAAGACATCCGCAACCTCAACTCTGCTATGAACGAATTCAGGGATCTTCACCAGCAACCAGAAGGCAGGCGAGAATGGGATCTATATGACCCTGAGGCCAAGAAGAAAGACAAACCTGCCAGGGTGTCTGACGATGACCCTCGCTGCGGCCCATCCAGCATCCAGAAGTTTGATGGGGAAGACTTGGGAGGGAAGGAGCGAAAGAAACTGATGGAGGAACAGATGAGGGAGTGGAGTACCAAACAAGCCAAGGAGAAAGCCCTACAGAAGAAACGACAAGAGGAAGCAGACAGGCTGTATGATCTACATAGGAGAGAGATGGACCAGAGAGCATGTGAACTAGCAGCAGCGGAAGAAGAATGTAGAAGAGCCATCAATTTATCAACTAAGGACTATAACAAATCGCTGGTAAGTTTTTAAATAAAAACTTAGTTTGCAAGTTGTTGCTAAAATGATATCTAAAGATGTGCGAGAGAACAAAAAATATGTAATTTCATTTTATGCAGAAAATTAGATGTATTTTCGTAGAAATTCGTTCAAATATACCTGAAAGCATGCTTTTCAAATAATGATTCTGTGGTTTAAGACTTGCAAAAATGAATTTACAGCTTGTAACGGTTGAATTAGTTCTGATATGTTAGATTTATTAGTTGGCATTTTTTAGGTAACCAGAGATCATCAGCAATAATTTACACTTGCATAGAATATTTTGGTAATTTTCTCAATAAAATAATATTTGTATTAATTGGTGTTTGCTAGGCTGATGAACAAGCAGAGAAAGACCGCCTGAGACGTGAGCAAGAACTTGATGACAACTTCACAGAGCTGGCCAATCACATCAACGGTGACATGCTGACAGAGAATCCTGATGTAGCAAGCAGCGCATTTGGTCCACACCGTGTTATCACCGACCGCTGGAAGGGCATGTCACCCGAACAGCTTGAAGACATCCGCCGTACGCAAGAGCTCCAAAGGCAGGAGAAGGAGCGCATCAAATCTGACGAAGCAGAGAGGGATAGAGAATGGGAGGCACAGAGGATCGCTGATGCTAGGGCAGGTATCCTCATGGATAGAGAGCAGGAGAGACTAAGGAAAGAGCTAGAACGACAACAAATCGCATCAAACTCAAGGCTTGCTGAGGAGCAGAATGCACAGTAAGTCTCACTTTTGTATATATGTTGTTTTTGTTAATTGTTATTTATAGATTTATAATCTATCATCTTTGTTTATAAAATGCAAAATTGAATTTTCTGTAAAAGTTGGACTTGAAAGTACCGATTGTACCTAATGTTATAAAATAGATTCAAATTATTCTCTTTTTCATTTTCCTTCCAGACTGAGCTGCAGTTTAAGAAGCTTGTTTTCCAAATGTTCGTTATTTAAAAAAAAAGGCAGGGTATTCTACTGACACTACTTCAAATTTACATACATGTATACTGCCATCTGCAGCTCACAATGTACCAATGTGTCGACAGCCATGATCTACAACATGCATCACGCACGTGATGATGCTTGGGTACAGGAATTGTAAATCGTTCTATATACGCCTTCACTGAAAGTTGGCGCAATTGAGAATACATTACAGCGATGGTAGAGATGTCGGTAAAATGCTCTGCATTTACGGACTTATGAATGGTGTTCTATGATATATCTGTTCTGCATTCATCGTGAACCCAATCACTTATTACCATGTTGTTGACATTTTTGATTTTCTCCTTTCTTCCTATCCTTCAGCCAAAACTTCATGGACAAAGAAGTTTACACAAATCCACCCACAGCAGCCTACTTTCAGCAGTTCAACAAGACAAGTCGATAAAGTGCTGCAATTACTGTGGATAAGTTACCTGCTGCCTTCTTTTTGTCTGCTAGAATTCATCCAGTGGACATTCCTCCCTCAGCTCAAAGAGATTTTTCTGGCAGAAGAGTTTTGAGGACACCTCCCCCCCCCCCCCCCCCCCCCCCCCCCCCTTCAATCCATTACTTCAGTAAGGCTATATATTATGTAGTGGACAATAGACATAAAGCATTAGTTATCTTCCAATAGCTGCATTGTTCAAAAACTTCATCAGCTACTCATTACATGAAATGAAATCTGAAAGAGCTGTATGGGAAGGATTTTAGAAACTCAATCAAGTCTTGCAACTACTGTTCATTCCCCCCCCCCCCCAAAGATAAGCATAAATATGTAAAACTAAGAAGCGATTATTGTTGCATTTATGTGTACACCATGGCATGGGTTTTACAAGTGGTAAATTGCAGAATATTGCATGTTCTATGATAATAAAACCACAAACTATCTTGTTTTTTTGTTGTTGTACAACTATGTTTTAAATGTTAAAATCGAGTGGGTAGTGCACCAATACTTATATAATATGAGATGGCCTTGAGTGTGATACAAGAATATATTGCTCGAGCTATGACAATATATTTTTGTATCACACAAAAATAAAGCCATACAATATAATTATTATCTATATTAGTCTGACTAGTGAAATAACAAAATTTGACTTACCTCGGTTAATATGGCTTTTTCTTGTGTGATATCAATATGATATCGATATCGATTGTCGACGTTTCTGGATGACCGAGCAATACGAAAATAATATTGGTCAGTCACCTGGGCACTGCGCTAAAGATATTGTATACACTGATTTATTGTACCACTTGGAAGCGTTATATAGATAATAATCTGGAATATTGGGGTACTTTCAAAAGTTTGGAATAGGAAATATTTAGTGATATTTTTTTCCTTTAAAACCCACCAAACACTGTACGATTCAGCTGCCATCCGATTTTAAAGTAAATATTGTACATTAGATTTTGAAACTCAAACAAAGATTATCTTCTTTACTGCGATTCTGAATAATGATATGAATACTAATTATGTGCATTAGAGGGCTTCAAGGGGGAGTTAGGCCGTACTGGCTTTAAATCAAGTCAGATACAGATTTACTATGAGTCGTAACCTATTTGACTTTTTCCTCTCATAAGGAGATTCATGTGCCATTCAGAATCCTGATTCTTGAGTGTTTAACGATTATGCTGTGGAGTTGGTACATATTTGTCATCAATCGTATCAAATGTTATCGCAAATTATTCAAAAATGGGATCATAGTCAAATCGTTAAGTGTGATGTGGGCTTTAGATATTACCTATTACATCAAAGAAAAAGAAATCCTCAGGGTCTAGACTTCACTGTACAGTACGTAACCTGATGGTATCTGTGATGTTATAATTGCATTTTGTTTTGTGGAAGAGATTTATGAACCAAGTGAGATGAGTGTCTTTAATTTGTTAGATTTGCAATTGTTTGAACATATTCTCTGGTAAGAAGGTCGTTACCTCTGCGTTAGAGTATATGGCCCGAAATAACAAAAGTGGTTAAGCCCTGTTTCCTAAAACTTGTTAAACAGTTATCAATAACAAATGCTAAATTTCTATGAAAAACTTGCTCTCGGCCTATCAGATGCCATGGTTTCAGTAGCTTAATTATGACAGTTATTGTAACTTGTTATTGATATCAAGTTTCCTGAAACAGGACCCAGGTGTTACTGAATTTCATCATGGAGTCGTGAACATACACATCTACCGACATGAAAATGTCATTTTACTTAATGTTTTGTCTGATTCAAGCTCTATTAGGGCTTTTGGCTGTATACTATCATTGGATATTAGAAATCTGAGATGTGATCTGTAACGTACGAGACAAAATGAATATAGCTTTGACTTTTACAAATGCACTATCGTGTAGTGTATTTGATGCTTAGTGAGATGCTGTAATGTTAAATCACATAATAATGTTATTTTTGAAGTGATATGTCCTATATTGCTGACCATATATTTTCTTTTACAATGTGGAGCTTGTTAGCACAATGATACTCTTGTCACAAAGTTTACTTTTGTCACTTCACGGTTATGTAGATGGTTACCAAGTGTTATGTTGGCATCGTGGTTAATTATTGAGATATATTTCTTATAACATGTAGAAATGATTGAATATGTATATAGACTGTATATTATTTTAAACACATGATAATTGAATATATATGTATGTACATTTATTAAATACTCATACGTGTTTTATTGACTAAATGAATGTTATGTACTTTCAAAAGAAATTCTTTCTGTGTTAGATTCTGTCAATGAGAAATTGGGTACAACATAGAAGAAAGGAGAGATAGGGATATGAAGAGAGGGAGAGAGAGTGCAGATTAGTGAGGGGTGGAGGATGGTGTATATGTAGAGAGGGAGCTCAGGGGAGGGGTAAGATAAAGAGAGAACATATGAAGAATTTGTGCAACGAAACTTTGTTACCTTTTTTCTTCTTCTTCCATTCTTGATTATTATTAATATAGATTTCAGTGTTGTTTACAGGTGTGCGTGTGTGTGTGTGTGTGTGTGTGTGTGTCGGGGGGGGGGGGTCTATAAAGAGGAATAATATTATATTATAGGCTGCACCTACCTCCCACCTTTTCAAACTAAGATATTGCCTGGTTGCTACATACATGCTACCCTGGGTTTTGAACATTTCAGCCACACCATGCGTTCTGTAAATCTTTGCTTGTAAACAATAGTGATATATGCAAATAAGAATTACTTTTAAAGGCCCACTACACTACTTGTAGCTACTTGCGCCCTCTATATAACAAATAATGATATAATCCTATATGTTAGTCTATCCACGTTCTGTACACGTGTTTCCTAATATAGGGATAATCACATTATGTAAGATCCTTAATGGCGATTCTGATCACTATTACAGAGTTAAAGAAGACAAAATAGGCTTTTTGAAAGGTTTCCCCTTCTTCCCGACCTACTTCATTTTTCAGTGTTGTATACAGGAGCGTTCAGGCGCGAAAGCAGGGAGGGGGGGGGGGTGTTTTGGGGGTTAAACCCCCACTCCATTTTTTTCCTGCTCAATAGGGGGGGGGGGGGGGGGGGGTTGTGTGCTCAGTAAAAAAAAATGGAAAAAAAGTGCTCCCTAACCCCCCCCCCCCCCCCCCCCTTCCCCCACTGCGAGCGAAATATCGGTCGGCGCGATTTTCAATCTTCAAACACCCTCCTTGAAACAAATCATGCGTACGCCACTGGGTGCGTGCGTGTGTGTCTGCCTGTCTGTCTGTGTGTCGGGGGGGGGGGCCGAGGACTCTCGAGGGAGAAAAAAAAAATAGGTTGCCCCTGCCACCTTCCCAAACTAACATATTACTTGGTTGCCACATACCCGGAGTTTCAAACGTTTCACACATTAATTTTTAGCCACCCTATGCTTTCTGTAAATGTTTGCTTCTCTATACTGACGTGGCGTTTGTCTATACATTGCGGGGAGAGAGAGACAATTTGGGGGTTGGGGATCTGGGTAACTAATAATCATATAATAGTTTAGTTTATCCACGTTCTGCATGTACACGTGTTTCCCGGGGATAATCAAGATCATTAATGGCGATTCTCAATTGCACAGAATTAAAGAAGACAAGACAGGCTTCTTGGAAGGATTCCCCTCATTTCCGACCTGCTTCACTTTTCAATGTTGTTTACAGGTGCGTGCGTGTGTGTGTGTGTGTGTGTGTGTGGGGGGGGGGGACTTTCAAGGGAAAAATAAATAGGCTGCCCCTGCCTTATTTCCAAACTAAAATATTACTTGGTTGCTACATAAATATACCCGTGGTTTCAAACATTTTCACCTATTTCAGCCACCCTTTACTTTCTGTAAATCTTTGCTTCTATATACTGATGTCGCGCTTGTCTGTACATTGCGATGAGAGGGGCTGGGGGGGGGGGGGGGGGGGGGGGGGGGGGAATAAGTAATAACATATAATTATTTTGTTAGAAAGCCTCATTAGCTTCAATTCTGTTCTTCCTGAGTGAAAATGCACCTCAATGTATAAAACTCCCCTACAAAAATGTGTTTCACTCATTGAATTAATTTGTTGTTTACACTCAGGTAGCCATAACTGTACTGGGATCACCAAACTTTGTTTTTTTCTGAAATTTAGTCCCTGTGGAATGTTATGGCCTGTTGAGTGGTTTCTTGGAAAATCGTCATAAATCCTCAAATCTGACATTTAAAAAAAATAAAACTATACTGTGATGTAGCTGAAAGTTTGCAATTTTTCATCGTTTGATCGGTTTTTCTGAATAATTTGTGAAACATATGAGGAAATAGCTGTAACGGTGATCCAAGTAATTTACATCGCCATATTTTATTGGCATTGCAAAAATATTGGGAATTTGATGTTAATATTTGGTGTAAATATGATCTATAAATAAATGATTTAAAAAATGCCAACAAAATGAACAGTTTGACTTTCGTATATAATTATATAATTAGCTGAAATGACCTAATTTGCATATTTGATGAATATTCATAAATTTTTTTTCTTGAAAAAAAAAAAATTCTATACCTGTCTGATAAACATAGGCTTCATTGATGTATCACGTTCGGTTTTGATTTGATTACATATGCGTATATTAATTAGGTGGACTTAGTTATTTTCATAACTTTTTCATATCTGCAGATTCGCAAAAATGGCAAAAATTACTTATTTTTGCTTCTGTTTTCCAAACGGTAATAGATTTTATTTTTTGTATTTTTTACCACAAAGATGATATTTTAGTGTCTGATAATTTAATTTATTATTTGTGTCCGAGAAAGTGATAAATTAAGTTGTCAAGTTTGTCAAATTTTGCCATTTTTGCCAATTTGACCATTTCTGGCAGGTTTTTCGGTAATTTTGCGATATCAAAAAAATGGCATAAAATCACAACGCATTGACCGATTTCATTTTTTTTTTTTTGAAGCTTTTAAAAAGCTTGATCATTTGCAATCATCAAATAACATGTGTTTGTTGTACTTATTTTTGGTGTGCTATACCTATTATTATTACACAAGGAATTGCCAGGTTTTCATGTATACCTGCATGCAGTGGGTGGAGAGTGGCAAAACCCTATATTTCATGTTCGGAATTACGAACTTTTTTCTTTTTCTCCATTTTAGGAATAAGGATCCTTCGAATTTACCGCAATGCAAGGTGAAAAAAATATGAGCAAGGAGGAGGTCAAGGGATGTGTATGCATCGCTTATTGATACATCAATATATACAAAATACGATTCATCTATTTAAGATCATAAAGAAGAGAAAAGTGTCAAAAAGTCAATGATGACTTATAAAAGGTTGA